ATACATATATACATATGTACACATATATACATATATACATATATACATATATACATATACATACATATATATACATTATATATTATATATATATATGCTTCGCTTATATATTATATATATATGCTTCGCTTATATATTATATATATATATGCTTCGCTGAGCAGGAAAGAACTTTCCATATCTATTATTATATATTATATATATATATATGCTTCGCTGAGCAGGAAAGAACTTTCCATATCTATTATTAGTATCGTAGTCGGTATTGTATGGATTTATTTTTATAAAATATTATGTATTGTATGGATTTATTTTTATAAAATATTATGTAGTATATATACATATGTATGTACGTAAGGAGTATAACTATACCAGTTGTGAAAAATTGTCGATGATTTAAATTGGTATGACTTTGTAAAAAAAAAAGATCATATAACAATCAAAATGAACCCCGATTTTGGTGTGTAGTTGATCTCGAGTCATCGTTTAGAACGCACCTATATATATTTCCAATCCATTATGTTATCGCGTATTCTTGTGCAACAAATAAATAAATTCTGACAGATTTAAAATCTCTACTTATATCGTTTGTTTTTACCAAAGATGATTTTACATCACGTAGTGGGTGGAAAAAAGAAAATATTTTTTTCTCGAAAATTGTAAAAATTAAAAATAAAAATAATAAAAAATTTTTTTCATCGACTGAACTTTCTTCTTTATATAACAATTTCTTAAAATGTGCTATACAATTTCCTTTTGTACCACGATTTTATTGAACTTTGAATATTACATGAAATAAATTGATTATAATAATCAAAATTGTAAGGAAATGTATATAAAGAAATTTAACAATTCGATCCACAAGTAAATAATAATTCCTTCGACATCAATTTTGCATTGATAAAGCAGACGGATATTTCGAAATGCACATATAATGTACTTACGTACAGCTTTTCATTTCGTATTTTTGTTATAATTTTTTAATATTTATGGACTTTTTGCTATATAATTTAGTTTTATTTTTGCCTATAAAATACACTGTTGATATTTAAACATTAAAATGTACCCTATACATAATGTTTAATAATATTGTAAACAAAACTAAAATTAGAATACTAAGAGATACTAACAATAAGTAACAATTAAAATAAAAGAAAGAGGCAATTAAACAAGGAAAATAATTTTTAAATAGAAATGGGAAATTACTTAGCAAAAGTATCGAAAATAAAAGATCTTCACATGAAAGTTTATTGACTTTTTCAAGGTAAAAAGAAATGTATCAAGAAAATAATTGTCTTACTATAGATATATATCTATAGATATGTATACAATTCATTTTCAGTCTTACTCATAATTCTCTTAAAAAGATTTAAAAATCTGAGTATGTTAATCCTTGTATATTATATGTATATTATGACACGTCTTTTTGTGATACATTGTGATGTATAAAATATGCATAAGCAACTTTCCTGAATTTTATGAATGCTGCCTTATTTATCAGTTTTTAAACCATTCTAATTTAATCATTCTAGCATTTCCAATCAGAAATACAGATTGCAGTTATATTAATGGCTTTTCGATATAGTTTAATATTTTTTATAGAAAATAACGAGCTGAATCAATTAGTGTGTTTAAAAATATACGATTTCATTTAAAAAAAATGAACTCAATCTTCAAACACCTTCTATGAGTCTACATTAAAAAATGACAAATTATATCAATTAATACCTCTCTCGGAACCATTCAATTTTTGTCTAAAAATTTTTTAGAAATTTTATTAAACATGAAACTATCATTATAAATATTTATGTGACTTATTTGAAATTAATTCGTAAGTAATAGTTTAAAAATTGCATTTCATAAAAAATTGTTTAACACTTCTATTTAAACAACGAATAAATTTTTCTCTATTAAATAATTTTATAAATTAAAATTACTCATCTATGTATGCTTATTAATTATAAAATTGTTCAATATTGCCAAAGCAAATTTATTGCCAAGCAATAAATTCTTGTATTTCTATATTTTATATTTTATGAAATAAAATACAGAAATTACTTTATAAAATAATAAAATAATAAAATCTTGAAAGTTTATGTTTTGTTTAATAATTTTACTTCACTTACTTACTTTTTTGGAAGCTATCGCAAAAAGAAACCAATTGTATTTTCAATCAATTAAAAAAGAAAAAATAAATAAAAATTAAATATATTAGTTTTCGATTAAAATTATTTTTAATCATAGTTAATGATTTAAACAAAAAGAAGATCTATTTCAATTAATAATACAATACATAATGCTAAGAAAAAGTATCTATCATATAAAAAATTCAGTTATTTCTAAAATAAAACAATACAATAATTTATAATATCATCATACTAAGAATAAAATACCTATTTTGTAGAGAATTCACTTTATAAAAAATTTGTAATATCGTTATGGCAGAACCAAAGAAACTAAAATTTTACAACATTTCATTTTTCTTTTTTTCTTATATAATAATTCAATATAAAAGTTTGTATAAAACATCGGAATAAATAAATAACGTTTTATAAAAAGGAAATTAGAATTAAATTTTGCATAAACAAAATTGCTATATTTTCATAAAATAAATGTTTTAACACCGGAAATTGCAAATATATATATATATATATAAATAATATACATTATATATTATATATATTTTATATATATTATATATATATATTATATATATATAGATAGAAATGATAATATTTATATTACCTTAAAAGCTCTGCAACGTCGTAACGGTTTGCAAAAACTGCAAGTACTACGAAGAGTTCAATATTGCAAATTCAGAATACTGCTAGCCATGATCCTTTGAAGCGACCTTATATAAGGAAATTTTCTCATACCCTTCGTTCATAAAACTCATTAAAAGACCCCTTCTCTCAACCCCTTTGTACTCTTATGCAATGATATCAAAAGTTTGATATACGCATCAATAGTAACTAGTAATAAAACCAACAAAGGCACTAATTATTGTTAGGCAATATTGTAGTGAACTCAGTAGACCATAAGAAATTGTATAATAAACTTTCATTGAGGTGCCAGAAGTTTATAGGGGATCATCAAAATGATGATTTAATATATAGGTTAACATATAATAATATATAATATTGAACAACCGATCACGTATAAAAAGTTTTATTTTCAAACAATGAAAGGAATACCTTTTGAAGTTCGATTTCATCAATTTTTTAAAAGATTTTTATCTCTTGCATTTTAATCAGATAAAACCATTAGATTAATCAGATAAAATCCATTAGATTTAACAAACATTATATTCATTATACCGAATCTCTAATAAATAAAAGAATCATTGATTTTACAAGAAAAACATTATTTTATTAAAAATGTTATTACAAACATTATTTTATTAAAAATGTTATTACAAATATTTATTTTGAGAATGAAATAAAAATTTTAATATTACTTAGAGTTCAACACTTAATATTCACTTTTTTACTTCAACTTACATTTAATTTGTTAGTATAATTTTTTTATCTGAAAATATTACGTTGGAATAAATTATTATTCTTTTATATGTAGAATAATAAACTCTAATAATAAATTAGATATACAGATATACAGATATTCATATAATATTCATATATTTATTTCATTTATAATATACTACCATTTGTACCATTTGTACTACCATATATACTACCATTTTTTCATACAAATAAATAAATAAATAAATACAATCAAGTATTTATAAAATACAATTTATGAAAACGAAATTACACACACACATACACTTAATGATTTGTGTTCGTATATAAAATAGATAAAGAAATAATACTCTATTGTTTAACAATAACATTTATTTTTCAATCATTGATAAAAGCTTCATGTATAAAACAGATCTTCTATGTGATTGTAATATCTTTACAGTACACTCAGTCTCCAAAGTTTGCTATGATGTTCTTTCCAACTAGGAGTTACATTCTTTACACACATTCATGTTATAAAATAGTCAAAAACATAAATTTTATATTACTTTTATAAAGAATATCAAGAGATTTAAAATATTTCCAATTTAAATCAATTAAAAATAACTATAATTCTCACACGATGAAGCAGATCTTATGAGAATAATTGTTTAATAAATCTAAATTTTATCACACAGTGATATTTTAAAACATGGTATCAAAAAACAAAGTTCATAATCTTCATTATGCGTGCACATACTACTGAATATTCATTCTTTTTTTTGATAATTATGAAAACATGTTTCATAAAAAGAATTACATTATTAATTGTTCTATTCATTGCATTAATAATTATCTTGTATATAATATTTTTATCTATTAAGAGTATTCGTACAGCTGCCTATGGCACAATCTAAAATATAAAATCATTGAACGCTTTTAATATCACAATAATCTTATATATAAAATTAAATAATTTTAAATAAATCTAGAATTAAATAATATAATATATGCATTGTACTTAAGCAACTGTATGTTCAATCTATTCATGTTCAATTTATTTATAGAATTAAAATCTATTTTTTTCTTTCTCCTAGAGAAAAGCTTAAACATGATTTTACTTCAAAAAATGAAAATTAAATCCTAAATATATATAATATTGAGTTGTAAACTGTATCTATATTTCTAATTGAAAATATAATTTATCAATCTTTTACAAATTTCATTTTAGATATAAAACTATTTTTATGTATATTTATATGACCTATTTGAACTTAATTTATAATTCATAGTTTAAAAATTGCATTTCTTAAATATTTCTATTTACACAACAAACATTGAACAAATTTTTTTTTACTAAATAATTTTATAAGTTAAAATTAATTATGTATACTTATTATTTATAAAGTACTAAATTACTTAAATTTGCATGTTTATTTTAAAAATTTTTAAATATTGTCAAAACAAGTTAAATAAATTCTTATTTGTACTTCTGTATTTTATATTTTATAAAATAAAAAAAATTTTAAATAAATTATAATAAATAAATTTAAATATTCAGTTACATAAACATAAAGGCACGAAAATAGAGTGGCAAATAGTTGATCACAGCTTTTAAAAAATAGAAGTACAACTAATTGAAGATTCAATTCTAAATTCAAACCTAGTTTACTTATTTATATTTGTTTTTAGTTCACAACTGTTTAAATTAATTTTAAATCTTACATTTAATTAGTAAAATAAATCTTACATTTTAATCTAATAAAAATATTACAGATCTTTTAATATTTTAATCTAATAAAAATATTACAAATATTTAAAGAAATAATTAGATCTTTGTTTCATCAAAATTTAATCTTATTTGTTATTCAGATATCTTATTTCTTATTTAGATATTTTTATCAGTTTACAACCCAATATTTTTATCAACACCAATAATATATTATCTTACATATACACGTTTTAACCATAATAGTATTCTTTAAAAAAATAGTTATTAAAAATTAATTTGTAATGTGAAACTAATATTTTTGTAAATTTAAAAATGACACATTTGTTTTGTTGCTTGCATAATCCTATAACTACAAATTGAGAATATTGCATTATTCTGATGGTACAAACAAAATGATTAATCAAATATTTTATGTTATCATCCAAAATGTTATATGACACTTTCATTGTACACAGTACACATTGAAAAACATTTAGTCTACTTTCACGCATCACTTGAAAAAGAATCATTCATTGTCAAATTAGCTGAAGAATTTCTACTATCAGCTGAATTCATTGCAATATAACGTCTTCGAAGTATTTCTTGTAAATCATTACATGGACTGTTATCACGTTTTATATGAAGAGGTCGCCCTCCAGGTGATCTAAAAATATATGATCAAACTTATGATATGTCCTCCAGGTGATCAAACATACGATACACATAACATATAAATTGTATTGATAAATAATTATAAATATAAAAAATAATTTACCTTGCAATTGGCTTTAATTTAACATTGTCAATATCTTTTAATACATCCGTCATAGATATTTGAGAAGCAAATGGACCTCTTTTGCGATCTTCAACTTTGTGATCCTGCAAACTTGCTCTTCTTGCAATATGAGGAGTTGGTGGTGGTAGTGGTGGTGGTGGAGGAGGGGCTGGTTGTTGTGATTCTATGATATTTTCACTATCCATACCATTTGTTAAAGAAACAGTAGATGTATCTAAACAAAGCTTAAGTTAAAATAAGTTTAAAACATAAATAATGAAACACATATTTACTACTTGTATACATACACCTAGATTGTTTATTACTTTTAACTATTGCTGAAATTTGTTCCCTAAGTTCTTGAAGTTCTTGTTCTAAAGCAAGTAATCGAACTTCAGATCCAAAACTAATAGGCTCTAATAAATCTGGCCTCACATTAGACATCCTAATATTGAAATATTATCAAATTAATAATCTGTTGACTCAATGAAAAAAGAAATCAATATATTCATATACGTAGAAACCTTGCAGGTCCATATCCATTTATATCTACATAATTATTACTAGTTTCTTCATTAATCATTGAACTTGTCATTGAATGTAAAGGTGTAACACTAACATATATTTTTGGTGGTGGTTTTAAAGGTAACATTGAACCAATTCTACGAACAATGCTCCTTCTTTTTCCATAATATTTTAGTGGTTCGTTACTCTAAAACAAATACCAAAATTTTATTTTTTTAATATATAAAATTATCACTACGAATGAGAAAGTTTAATTGAATTCCCTTCAAACATTAATTTAAAGTGAGAATATATTTCATATAAAAATATATTTCATATAAATGTATTACCAATTTAATGAATTACGTGGTTAGTAACACATGGTAATTATATATATTACTCACTTTATTTATAACAATAGTTTCTTACCTTTGACATTATTTTTCGTTTTTAAATTGTCGAAATGAAATACTAATGTATATCATACACTTCATAAGTATATCAGGGTCATCCAAAATTCGAAATTAAAATAACTTTCTTACCATTGACGTAAGGCCAACATATGACGACAGGTTGCCGTAGTCGAAAGCGCAGAATCCAATGAAAAGCGATTTTAAGTAAAACATAACTTTGATAACAAAATTTGCAACAATCTTTATTTGTTTTATATTCTTAATTGAAATCATTAAATATTCTTTATATATATTTGTATTAATAATAAATTAATTTTAGGAAATATTATATATATATATATTATATATATATATAGGAAATATTATATATATATAAGATATATATATGTATATTGTTGATATTGTTGATATTATTTCTGTCATTTCTATTACTTTTAATAATCGTAATATTTATTTGTAACAATATGGTAAAAGAATGAAAAGATCTTTGCACAATTTATCGCAAATATAATAAGTTACAATACTTTACTGTTACAATAAATAAATTTAAATATTTTTTGAAAAAATATGAATCATTAATCTTTAAATATATAATAAATTACTCTTAAATTAAAATTATAATTCATTGGTACAAAAATCTCCATACGTTCTTGTTTTTATAAAATCATATTTATAAGAAACAATAAAAAATATTGTGAACTAAAATATTGAAAGTAAAATCATTTAATTTAAGAAATGTGTATTTTCAATTGTTCAAGAAAAGTTCTTTATAACAGTAACTTTATTCGCATTTTTTAATATCATGTTCTATTTCAGTTTTTTAATATTCTGTACCAAAAACTTTTAACACATTTATGACATGTACATACATTTGTCTTCTTTCTCATCTTTGTATGATAAATAACAAACAAATCATGTATATGTGTATATAAATATAAATATATACACATATATAAGTTTGTATATATGTTAGCATATATACATATATATATATACACATAATCAATCTATGCAAAATAGTAATTAGTTTAATATACAATAAATTTTGCAATATCTATTTTGGCATTCATCATACAATCTTTATATATTAATTGCAAAACACAAATACTTATTATATACTTATTTATATGATATTTACATTTGCAATTGAAGTCACATTCTACAGGATTGACTCAATAATTTAGGCATATACATATACACACGCGTGACGCGCTCGCGCACACATCATCGCGCGCGTGTATGTAGTGTGGCGCGCATGTATATGTATATATTTCCTAAATTAAATTGATTTAAAGCATATATTTCTTGTACATTTTATATGGTATGTAATAAACCTAAATTCTTAAATTGTAAATTTAAAATTATTTTACAGAATATGTAATATAATTTATAAAAATACGTACAAGTAAAAAACATAATATACATACATATATAGTTATATAAGGAAACTAATCTATGTAATATACATCATATATAGTTATATAAGGAAACTAAGGCTATAAATTTCTAAACACTATTTGATCTATTATCATTTTCATTATTATTTGCTCTATATCATATAATACGTATATACATTATTTGTACAATTTTATGTACATGTAAGGCATAGATTAATAAATAGATTTATATGAACAAATCTTTTATATAGTAATTGTTCAAATATTATTATAAAACAAAATAGTTTTAGGTAATTATATCAATAAGTTTTACATTAATCTTTCTCTTTAACAAAATATAGCAAATATCATAATATCTATTTACTGTTATTGTATTTAACAAAAAAAATTCATTTTTATGTTATTTCTAATTTAAAATTATTTGTTAATTATCATTACTTATATTTTTGTTTAGAACATAAATTAAAATTACACTGCTAACAATTAGTGTAATATATATTATTTGCCAAATTATTCATTTATTCATGGCACATGATTGCAGCATAAAAGCATAAAAAAATAAAATTGTAATTATGCAATTATAATAATTAAAACTATGTTTAACTTAAGAAAAAAACAATATACCATTATTGTACTATAATGTGCACAAGAAACATGTTACGTTTAAATGGTACATATAAAATTTACACCCATTGGAACCTTAACAGAACATTTCATCACAACCTTACTAAGATAAACATTTTGCATAGGATATTCGTATATATTATACAGTTTTACTTTTTCTTGTAATTGCACTAATTTATTTTAAATAAAAAATGAAATTAGATTCTTTGATAAGCACTAGTTTAACAGACGTTTTCATTTGACGTCATTCATACCATTTTTTCATTAGATAATTAATTCCGTAATTAGAATAAGAATTCGTGTATATAAAACCATTGAAGCTCATTACATATACATTCGATTTTTGTGTAAAAATATCAAATGCAGTATGAAAAGAATTACCAAGATTGTTGAAATTTATTCACAATATCTTTTCTAATACTTATATATGATCTTGAAACATAAAATCTTTCATTATAATTCATCGTCGATATGTTTTACCTTGTGTTTCTGTACATCGACTTTCTTACTTTTAACTTCATTTATATTTTGACCATGTTGCAATTTATCTTCATCTACAGAATTATAATTTGAATTGGAAGATTCTTGTTGAATATTAATAGACTTTTTATTCTCTTTTTCTTTGGATGTCAATATTTGGTTTTTATGTTCTTTAGGCAGTTTAGAAGGAAATGTTTTATAGTTTGTATTTGTATTTAAATGAACAGAATGTTCAATATTCGGATTTTTCCGATATTGTGCCTCAACTATTTCTTTTCCAATGTTTTGTAATATCTCATTTTTATCTTTTTTTATCGTTTCAATATTTGGAGAATTTGTCTTTCCATCTGTTAGTTTGAAATCATTGTTAGTTAACAAGGATTCTTTATGTGCTTGCTTGTCAGCACTATTATTATTAATTGTTTCTTGAAAATCAATATTATTTGATTGTACGTTTTCTAAAGAATTTGTGATTTTAGTAAAATCTGTTAAAGAATCTATATTTTTTGTAAAATCTTCAATCTTATTTTTTATAAATTCAATTTGATACTTTAATCTATTTTTTAACATATCAGTTTTACTTTGATTTTGAGAAGAAACATTCAAAACTACTTTATTTGAATTAATAGCTTCTTTACTTGTGTTATCTGTCATATCTCTTGAAATATCAATATGTTCTGGGAATTTTCTAATACTGTCTTGTTCTGAATCTTTCACAGCTTTTTCTATTTCTGTTAATATAAAATATTCAAAATCTTCAAATTTTCCTGCTTTAACATCTTCCTTCCTTTTAGACATTTTAGAAGTATCTTTTGATTTAATTTCTCTTTTACTATTTTCATTACTATCTGTCATAAATTCTGTGATCATAGAATTTTGTCCATTAGTTTTCTTTAATACATCTAATTTGTCAAAATTTTTCAAATCTTTTTGCCAATTATCAATTATTGTATCATAATAAAAATTTTTATCTATTACAGGTTTTTCTAAATTTTCTTGTGCTCCATCAGCTAATACTTCACGATATTTCTTATACGCAGCTTTATTAATACGATCTAACAAAGCAAGATGTTCTCTGATAATTTCGTCTTCCATGTCAAAAATACCTGGTAATTGTCTCAAAAACTTATAGTTACCAGCTTGAACAGCATTAAGTTCGAAAATTTTGACTAACTGTTTAGTATTTAGACTTCCAGATCGCATTGTTTGTAGCATTGTTGTAACCGTTTTCATATTCAAAACCATAATATCCATTTTTGTTAACAAATACTGTTTCAACAATTTTTGTTTATTAAAATCCATTAACTGGTCCATTTTCATAATGGACGGATTTGGTACAACTACAGCTAATTCCTTTAAGAACCACGCAACTTTATCTTGCAATGATATTTTTAATGTATCACTATTCGCGCCTCGTGACTTTACTACCCAATTATAATAACTTTCTAATATAAAACTTCTGATTTGTAAACCTGCTTTCTGTTTGACATTCAAATATATATGATTAATAAAAACTTCTTTTAATTGTCGCCATTGTTTTTCTATTAATGTGTTTTCTTCCGATTCTGTTGTAAGTGGAACAGATATGTACGACGATGTAATCCTTATTTCCCCGCCAAGTGGATCATTGATCATTTCAGCACGTAGATTATAAAAAAAGATTATGTATTTTTCGTCTTCTTCATATTTAATTTCAGGAACCATATCCAAAATCGTCCCACTGCTTGGAGATGTCTGTTATAAAAAAATATCTCTCGATATTTAGTTTCATTTTACAATTTTGTAAAATAAATGAAAAATATAACTTTAGAAAATCATATATCTACTAATGATCTGAAATATAGTTGCTGCAAATGTACTCTTAAAATAATGCATAATAAATTAAATTACAAAAAGGAAATAAAAATATAAAAATATAATATATATAATAAATGTTAAAATCAATAATTTAATATCATAGAAGATATAAAAATTGAAACAATAATTTATGTTACAAAATATTTTTCAAAATATGAATTTTTATGACTAATTTGAAAATATATTATATCATCTTATATCTATGTATATAGATAATGTAATGTATTTATGAAACGAATAGAAAACCTTTTCCATAATAAAATAATCATTATAAAAACATAATTTAATATCGTTTCATGTAAATAAAAATCCAAAGGAAAACATATTCAATAAAAATTACTGCAAAACACCAACGGATACAGACCTGTGGTGTCATTTGTTGTGTAAGGAAAGATTTTAATGATCCTTTTAATCGTTCAAACATTGATAAATCAGTAGGTGCTTTTAGTTGTGTATCTTCTTTTGAAAAGAAATTTCCTAAAAAAAAAACAGAACAAATATTTGAAATAATAGTAATAGCAAATATGCACAACAGAATATAAAAAAATATTTTACCAAGTGTAACTGTAAGATCACCATTTGCTACGGTAATTGCTTTTAATAATTCAGAAGCCTCCATACTAAACAAAAATACAACTGGAATAGTTACATCATCTACTTCTTTTCCATCTCCTGACATGGCAAATATAGGCGAATTTGCAGCACTAGAACCATCTACATTATCCAACACTATTCCAGCAACAGCACCTGCTTGTTGAATTCGTCTTGCCTATTAATTACAAAATAATTACATAAAAATTCTTTCAAAATGCATTTGTACTGAACGTGGAATAAATAGAAAATATTTACCTTCTCTATAAACATACAGTTACCCCGACCCATTATTGCTATCTTGCCTATAAGTTTATCTGCATTATGAAGATCGGTACATGCAGTAGATGGAAATGTAAAGACAACTTTTCCAGTTATTTTATTTAATCCTTGTAATTCTAATCCAAATTGAGCTGGTCCAGCTAATAGCGTAACTATTTGAGGTGGATTTATATTTGGTTTTACAAACGTGACAGCTTGTGGTTTAGCTTCAGTTTGTTGGGATTGCATTTTACTTATTTCAATCATTTCTTGCATAAATAATAATCCTTCTTCTGAATCCTGTGGTGTTTTGGCCTATAAAATAAGTATAAATATTTCTGTTTCATAAATTAATATAGTTATAGTGAGTAAAATGTGTAAATATATTAATAAGTATAAAGAAATTTTGCTTTACATTAGAAAATGTATGCAACAGTTGAACACGTCCATCTGCCAAAGTTAAAGTCGTTATTCCCATATCACTTAACAATTTTAAATGCTCCAAATTATTTGCCTACAATAGAAAATAATAGATTTTAGTGTATATTTAATATTTAACTTGGTACAAACATTCCTTTACCTGAAATTGTGCAGCACTTAATCTTCTTTTTAATACACGTCTTGGATAGACGTCTTCAACCATGTTTCTCAAAGGTTGTCTTACTGATGCAGGAAATAAATGTAAACTATTAGGACAAGTACGGTCCATCTCATCCACATGAACAATATCTCGTTCAAAATCTTGCTTCATTTTAGAAATTATAAACATTAGACAATTATATCTTAACATTTTATATTGTATAATTTTTATGTTTTGCAATTTATATTCAAAATTTATTATGCTTACCGAAGAAATATTAGTCCTTATAGAAGCAAGTGTTAATGGCAATAGATGTCCTTCGGTTGTAAAAATAAATTCATCCAAATCTAAAAGTAGTTCACCTGGCTCCGCGAATAACAGAAATAAGTATTTAAAAGTTTCGGATAATACAAAGCTATCCATTGTATCATCATGCTTATTAGTTCTAACATCTGATACAGCAGCATAACCACATGGTACTCTGGCATAAGTTTGCAGACTTTTGAGTACCTTACGGCCAACTCCTAAATAATAATGATCGCCAGTAGCACGATAGAGGAAGTACGTTGATTCTAAAAATTCCGGCCTTAATGGATGATGTCCCCAGTGTACCTAAATATAAATTTAAAAATATATATCTCAATACTAAATTACTAAACTACTAAATTACTAATACTAAATTCTATTTATTCATAAAAATATATATATATATATATATATAT